CCCCCCCCCCCCCCAGGAGAGACGTGGATCGGCGTGTACACACGGCTGGACTGTTTCCCCGTGCTCACCACAGTGTTTGACACGTACTGGCGCAATAGCTCCGTGACCACATACGCCTACGACATGACGGAAGGGCTCACAGACCCCGACAAGTTCGTCCCGCCCTACCCCTGTCAGATTGGCCGGGTCACAGAAGCGTCGCTCAGCGAGAAGGGCCAGCGTCTGCTAAATCTCTTCAAAGACAAGACACAGGGAAAATAGTTTTAGTAGAGGTTTTACGGCGCTCCCAACTGCATAAAGTCATAAGAGCGCCAGAAGATTAGAGGAGTTACACGAGAGTAAAAAAAGAAAAAAAAGAAGGGGAGATCAAGACGATAGATGTTTGATAGGAAAGAAGGAGAAAACCATACCGAGCACCTGCCAACCACCCACTCTGTGAAGATACACCAATAAACTTTTACAGTTTTAGAAATAAAAAATCGTTTAGTTTTTGTAAGTTTTACAGCACGTGCAACAGAATTAGGTCATATGTTAGTAAAGAACTCATATTATTATGTAGATCATACAATGCCAAAGATTAGACGTGTTACTAAAAAGGAACATGTAAACAAAAAAGTTTAGTTCACCTTTAATAACTCAAATATTTCATATAGGTGCCAGCATTTTTCACCATCTAGCATAAGGCTATTGTCAGAATAAGCATCAATGTGTACTGCTCTTTTGAGTATCTATATGACTCTAACGGTCTTGTAATTAAAATCTTGTGTGTGGTTGAATAATGCATCTGATGCGAATGTACATTTTGTCAGCTTTACTTTTCTTTTCATATTGAATTTTAATGAGAGTAATATATTAAAATTTGTATGTATACCTGTATGCGTTTTTAGAGTCTTGTACAGACAAGAAAAATTTCCCTCTGGGATAATAATGTATTATCTTATCTTATTTTTGTAGGATCAGTAGGCCTATAAAGAAATCAGACATTTTTGTATTCTCTGTGTGAAGACATCAAAATTTTAAAACATTACTTGTGCACAAATAATAATAATAATAGCGAAAGAGTTTTCTTTTTTAACGTAAGGGTAATTGCCTGTAAACAGGCTTTTTCGCCCTCAAGTTTCTAATTTTTGAGAATGTACTTTCGTTCATGCCCAAATAGCATGCTCTTACTTCATAGGATATAGGCGTACAGTGTATGAAGCCAATTTATTCTTTATCTTTAAACTGGATGCTCAAATCCACTACTGATTTACAGTATATATGTAGGTCCTACAACAATAACTTTTAATTTTACAAGATGTTTTTCAATAAGATGCAATTCTACATCATTTGTTCGTTAGTTTGTCTGAGTGAAGAGAAGCACAACAACACAATAGAGGTCATTTGGTGCAGGGAGAAAAGTAAGATAGACTAAAGAGGCAGAGAAAAAGTAAAGAATTAGACGTGTTACTAAAAAGTACTATGTAAAAAAAAAGAGTTTAGTTTTTGGTGCTGGGAAAAAATAAGACAGACTGAAATAACAGAGGGAAAGCAAAGAAGTAGGACCTATAAACCACTGGTTCCCTCCTTAGTTTTAGTTTTAGTTGAGGTTTTACGGCGCTTGCTACAGCATAAGGTCATATGAACGCCAGAAGATTAGAGGTGTTACAAGAAAGTAACAAACATAAAAAAGAAGAAGGGGAGATAAGGACGATAGACGTTAGGAAAGAAAAAGCAAACCACACCAGAGCTCCCACCATGGTACCCTCCATCAAACCACCAACCTACCCCTGGAGCAGCAGAAACTGGTATAATTTTGTTGTTGTTGATAAATAGAGTTCTGGATAAAAAAGTTCCACTTTTATGAATTCGTTTTTAATCAATATCTCATGTTGGAGGATTTAACTTCCTTCACCGAGAAGACCACGCCCGGCGACCAGAAACAACCTACTTCATGACTGTGTGTCAGTCTATAGGCCATACCCAATGTGTCAAAACTATGAGAGAAACATGTGTGCTTTGTTCATCCTTAATTTTGTTTTGTTTTAGTAAGAGTTTTATGGCACTAGCAACTCACAGGTCATGTAAAAAGCCGAAGATAAGAAGTGAACACAAAAAAGAAGGAGAGATACGGACAAAAGATGTTTGATGGGAAAGAAGGAACAACCACACCAGAGCACCCGCCAACCACCCCCAAATGAGAGATACGGACGACAGACGTTTGATAGAAAAGAAGGAGCAAACCACACCTCAGCATTCAGGAATACTCAATTGAGGGTTTGAACCACAGCCATCCCCACTGTACTCCAGCATGATACCAACTGAAGTACCTGCATTCTTAGGACACTTTCATGCGTCCATTCAAGAACCAAAAATAGATAAACTGGCTTGAGCTTTGAACAGAAATTTGTGAGGCTGACTAAGGACAGCACAAGTAGATAGTCAACCACAAGTGTGATGGCCATACCAAATTTAGAAGCCACAGGTTTGGGGCTATGGCCAAAATCTGCTGCTGATATCATGACCTAATGTAGCCTTAAGGGAAGACCCGGGTCGGCGATCCCAGACAACATCGATAAAAATTTTTAAACTATTGAACTTTTGTTTTTGCGGAAAAACATTCTTTGTCATCTGTTCAATCGGGTCACAATGACGAAACTGTTGAAAAAACACCCTAAAAGGGCATTTGAAAAGTGCAAATTGCACTAAAAATCCTTTTTAAAAAAATCAGTTTTTCTGTTTTTTTCAATATCTAGCCTACTCTTTGACATATGTGACCTCCTTGGTGCAAGGAGTTTTAAAAAACTACTGACGCTAGAAGCTTCAAATTTGGCGTACAGGTGCTTTAAGATCTATTCTGGGGATCTATGTGAGTGAATAGGGAAATATAGGTAAGGTGTGGAAATATTCAAATTTTTTGTAATATGTACCCCCAAATTTCGTCAACTGACCCTCGGGGGTCCATTGACTTTGGGCTCACTTTATAGTTTTAAAGTTATGTCAAAATCCTCAAATGGATCCCCAGTCCATATAGGTTTGTACTTGTGAGCCAAATTTCAGGCTGATAATTCAATATTTACTATGAAATTCTTCTGCACTAAGAAACATGGTTTGAAAATCCAAGATGGCCGCAACAGAGACCCATTTTTCAGAAAAAATCAACAAATTCACCCTTAAAACATTCTATTTAACGAAGAACTTCTGGCACAATCACATGAAAGTGAATAAAAGTCCTTCGTTTAGAAAATTTTTTCCGGGAGTGTACGTCTTCCCGTAATCATTTAATACCACAAAAAGGATAACGCAAAGAAACAGCAAAAAAAACAACATACGGAAGTACAAAATGAAATCAAAAGTCCACATTTATTCATACCGGCATTGGTAAATGGATAACATTTTCATTGAATAACCCCAACAAAGTGAATCTCATGGAAATCAGATCATTAAAAAAATAAACCACAAAAAAAGTACCCAAAACAGGTCGAGGACCCAAGTGATCAAAAATCTTTGTTCCGAAATACAACTGGGAACTAGACCACAGTGTAATAAGTTGATACCATGATCAGAAACAATCTGGTATGACTACGTAAGGGAAGCTGATTAAAAATAACAACTCCACAAAAACAATAGCAAACAATAAGTATCTAAAAGCCGAGCGTACACAAAGCTACTACAGCAAAATGAACAAACAGTGCATCATTATGTGACCATGACAATAATCTTTTAAACACATGCAGCTTTAATTCTGATTTTGTTACATGTGGGCCTACCACACCAGCCACTCAACTAGCAATAAGTAGGCTATGCTTTTCGGTCTTGTTATGAAAATGATACTTCTGCGTAATGGAAGAACCTCGACGAGTTCTTCCTATCTAAGAGAATGACTTTATTTTTGCAGTGATTTATCAAAGCCATAAGACGGTCGAGCAGTTTAAAATGAATCTCACGTAAAAGGACTTCCGGCACAAGGAAAGAGGCACCGCCTCAAACAATGCACAATGCCTTGATCTAACTGAGTCTCTACCTCTGAAATGTCCTGATCCTAGCACAAATCGCTGGTTTCACTTTCTGACAACAGTGTTCACCTTGTAGAGCGTAAGGAAAGAAAAGGCAGGGGGAGCCGACACAACAACATCCACATTTTGTCTACAACAGACAGGGAAAACAGTAACAGACTAACAGGAGGAGAAGCAGACCACACACAAGTACCTACTAACAATCCGCAAAGAAAAAGAATGTGAACAGATGTAACTCCTCTTTGATAGTTCTTATTTTCTTTCAGGAGGGCACATTCAGGCTTGAAACGCGCATGATAAACGGGAATCTCTCCAGGTCAGACTTGTTCAAACACTCCAAAACAAGATTTGTTCTGATGAGGCTGACTAATTCATGATCGGCCTCAGCCACTCGGACATGAATATAAACAACATGGCTGTATAAGTGTCGTGGCTCAGATAAAACAACAGCAAGTAAGCAAAACTGGAGCACAAAAATGCACACCAAACCAAGTCAGGACAAAGCTGTAATTAAAGAGAGCTACGGGAAAAATATAATCACATCCTGGTTTCAAGAGTACAAAAAAATATAACCACCATAAAAGACTTGCAAAATCAAGGTTAAAAAATTCCAGTGTTCAAAATGACAAGACGTTCTATTAGCTTGTTCTCATGCAGCCCTAAGTAAATAATTTTTCATTTAGCTTAATCATTGCTACATTAAAGCAATCTGAGAACCGTTATTGAGTCTAAAATCAGTATAGTGCTTTGGAAAATACATTCTTAGTACAACAGCAGCACACCATAAGCCCAAACTTTTGGGTACTTCCTGCTATACCTCAGTTGACAATAGTCTTCAATACTTGGTGTCTCTGCAATGAATAATTAGTTAGTTTTCTTAATAATAATTGCTTGATACTGATACAATTTTGACTCTGTTGCCATCCAAATAGCCACTAGGGACCGTTGAACATCTATCTATAGCAGTCTGCTGATTCTGAACGTCGCCTGAGCATCTCTAACCTGGAAACCTGTACTTCTATCTTCAACTGTGAAAGCATTCTTCATTAGTGCGACAGTTTCCCTATCCGAGAAATTAGGAGCAAGATATTACATACCCTTTAGTCAGGAATGCAACATCAGAAAAGAATCCCAAGACATTCACAGACTGAGCTTAAAAAACAGAAACATTAGCACCAGAGTGAAGCACCATGCCTCTTGCAAAAAGTGGCTTCCCAAGAATTATATTCCAATAACACTAAACCTCAGTATTTTGTAAACACGATTCCAATACCTAATTCAACAGCAAGGCAAAAAAAACCAACAACAACCGGAAACTCTTAAGCAGCTTCTCCTCTTCTGCTATCAACTGCCCTATTCAGAGACAGAATCTCCATCCGACAGCATACTCTGCAATGGCCCAAGCAGCCTCTGTGCATTCCCTTACCCCTTTTTCCTGCACCAAGCAAAAATAATTTTTAAAATTACAGTGGGACATTATTTACATACTCCTGTGAGTCAAAAAACAAGTAGTGAGTAGTGTTTCAGAAAGGGGATCTTTGAACAGGATAAAGAGTTAAAGGGAGTTTAAGTCTTTGAATTTGCTCCAAGAAGTTCTGAGAGCAAAGTCTTGTTCTTCAAGGAATGGCACATACAATTCAAAACTAAAAATAAAAAACAAAACTGCATTGCACTGAATATTTCTGAGACCTGAAACATTTGACACAAAGATTTTAACAGGTAATCTAGTTATCTTTTAAAGATAAAAATTTCAGGACAAAGATGAGTATATTAATTAAATGGAATCATAATCATGAAAATGAACTGTAAAGTAAAAAGATCGAATGTCAAATTAAAATTCAGACATATATATAAAGTAAAACAATCAGACATAAAGCTTGGCTCAAATATTTGTAAACAGAACAGGCAAGAATATCAGATTTCACCTTTATAGACTTAAGCAAAAGATGCAAAGTTCATCATTGTTTTGAAACACCAAAAAGTCATTGATTATTTTGAAATCTTCTGACATGAACAATACATTAGCACTTACTACCCCTCGAATACAAGATGAGCAAACATTTTTTAAAATTAAAAAGCAAAGAGGCAATTGTGTTTTCAGCTTCTTTCTGACAGCAAAATAATCAACAAATTTAGTACACTTCAAGATGGATTCGACAGGACTTGCAACAGAATGCAGGTAAAAAACGACTATGGACATAGTAAATGTGCCTCATAAAAATTAATGCCAAAAGGCGTATATGGCCACGAAGATGAAAAGTAAGCTCCAACAGATATTCTAGTATCAAAAACAAAACAAGCAGCAAGAGATTCCGTTGACGATTTCAAGAATAAATCTGAGCATCTGTGATCCATTAACATGTCATAACAATAGTGAGCATATAATTTCCACCAAATTGAAGTTGAGATTCAAACATGCCGTTAATGTGAAAAAAACCCAGCGAAAACTTATTTGGTAGGTGTACAAAAACTAGTTATTTTACCAAACATTTCATTAACGGTATAATTAGGATAAAAGAGGAAAAAAAAAAATCTATTATTTTGAAAAACAAACAAATATTACCAGTACTGAAAATCAAGAAAAAGAGTTTGACTGTAAAAAAACTTGCGCATCCAATTTTATGAGCCACAATATACAGTATTTTTCTGGTTTCAGCATGATTGTTCTTTACATGATACATATATTGTATCCTGAATCTATGGTGAAAACATACTTAGCCTTTCTACTAAACATACTATTTAGAAAGCGAAGTAAAACCAAACAACAACAAAATAACTAGCAAAACTAATAAATACATCTAAGTGAATCACTTATTCCTCTTCTGATTTGCTACAGTTCACAGACCAGGATAACAAAACAGATATATTATTCCATCAAAGCAGGAACTTACACAGGACTAAAAACAAGGTTATACTTAGCCTATGGAAAAGAAAAATCCTGGAAATGTGCCTAAAGGTTTCAAATATGCAAAGTAACTATGTGGTTTGCATGTCCGTGTAACATCTCAGAGAACCAGCCGTTTGGGGACCTCCCACGAGAACTCCGGCCGGCCAAAATGTCCGTATGAAGCCGTCTGCTGAAAGATTGGCTTCCTCAGGTCCAGCTCACTGTGAGAAAAATAAAACATGCCATGTTTTGCCTTGAAAATGTTAACAAAGTTATCAAATGTGAGGCAGTGTGGTGAAATCAAGCGCTTGTCAAAATAATGTAATCAATGAAATCCGCATTTTTCTGGCTGTTGGGCAATTTTTTTCAAAATTTCTTTTTTACGCTCAATACCTGCTATGTCCATTTAAGAACACATTTCTGAGTGGACTTTTCTGAACAACGTACACCAAAAGCACAAAAAATGTAAATTTGCAATTTCCAAGGACACTCAAGCTTTAGAAGTCATCAAACTTTTGCTGCCATTTTTTCGTTAATCTTACCTCTGACACCAGGCTACCCCACCACCTTTAATCGCAAATATCTTGACTTTTGTTTAACTCTTTAAACCCTGAGTTTTTTCCACCGTTTCCCAGAGTTTTTTCTACAGTCATCTAAGCCTGGTGCACTATTGTCTCATTATACCCCCAAAAGCTTGCCTCCAACTTCTAAATTGCGAAAACAAAGGTTTAGTGGTTACTAAAAAACTTGGATTGGGAATAGTTCCGAAAAACAAGCAAAAACTATCACTAAATGAAACGAAACAGTTGTCACTAGTATCGGACGGGTTTAAAGAGCTAAGATAGATGTGTATTTTTTTTGGCCAAATGCAAGACGAACAAGCTTTAAGATGATACTAATATCTTTATAAGCCCCCAAATAGACAAGCGCCTGATTCCACAGCGTCGTGACACATATAGCTCTCCTGTGAGACCTTTGTGGACTTAATACTTCTCTAGTTATTCACAAACTGACAGCTAGTGATCTCTTCACCTATAAACACACACAAAATATTGAACATGTATTTCCCCCCATGACTTCACAATGTAAAGTAACATCCATGCAAATGATAGGTCCCAAAAACAATTCTATCGCTTTGGAAACTAAAAGGGGGAGATGTAAAATGGGACATAATCCATAATCCACCACAGTTGCTTGTCCATTATCATAACAGAACTCATTAGAAGAAAAGTGAGTACATGTGAGTTTATGAATCAAATAAATAATAATAACAGACGAAGACATACAATTAACAAGACAAGTTAGACAAAAAGGAGAAACATAGCTGAGGCCTTTAACAAAATTCAATATTATATTTTACCAACAAATGTGAAAACAAAATCTATAGAAAGGACACACAGCCAAAAGAGATGGAGAACCCGTTAATCTTATAAAACATACTGCAAACTCTGTGCCTCTTCATTTTTGAAAGGCAGGAAGGAAAAGAAAAAAGAGTAAGGCACATTCGAAAACACTGTAATGCAGTAAGACACAGAATTCATGGAAAATACAAGACAAAAGTCTCCAACAGAATACTAAAAGGTAAACGTATCAACTATCGAATTTGGAGGATGCCAACAAATGGACACTCGTGTAAATATTTAACATTGATGAATTTAGCTAAATGATATGATGAATTTAGAGTTGATAAGATGAATACAGAGGTAATTGATAAGATTGATTAGAGTTAATGGATTAGATGAATTTAGAGTTAATCGATACAATGAATTTAGAGAAAATGGTGAAATGGTATAGGTTTATTATAACGCCCCCTATCAACACTATTTGGTTATTTAAGAGGCGGGACCTCCGAGTTTAACGCTCATCTCCAAGAAGACCGAACCAAATGGGAAATTCAAGTAAAGTGTCTTTCCCAAGATCATAACACTGGACTGAGCAGAGGATCGAACCCCCGAACCCACAATCTCACGATTGCGGGTACGGTAGCCTAACCTCTAGGCCACCGATGCCACTGAATTTAGAGCTAATTAGTAAGAAGAATTTTTTGAGTTAATTGAAGAACCAACAACAGTCTAAATTGTCTAAGATGGCCACCCATTGTTGAGGACAAAAGAGCCAGTCTTCGATGGATATCTTACACAGCATCATTATAATGTAAAAAATAAGCAAGATAGGAGATGGGAAGTGGCTGTTTGTACACGTAATTGTCTTAAACCGGTGGCCATAACAGCGGGCTCGACTGTATTTCTACATCCGATCTAAAGCCAGTTTAATGCATAAATATGAGGATGAGGAAATTAAAACATTTACTTTTCTTCTTGTGTGCTACAGCTCAAGGTGGCTCACAGAAAAAGTTTCTGCACGGAGTAGCTGATATAACATACAATCACTGTTTATCCTACAAATGAGTAAATAAGATTGCCTTTCTGGCAGCAGCAGAGCCATTTCAAAGTTGTTCTTTATCTTAACAGCTCAGTATTCCTTCCAATTAGAGTTGGCATTCATTCTGAATTTTGGCAAGTTAGGTTCCCCTTTCTTCAAAATTTAATAGCCACGCCCAACATGAACAAGGGATTTAAAAAATGTAAGAAAATGAGCTGATCCTTTTCACCTTAAAAACAGGGGTGTGAAAAGCCTGAGGGGAAAAATCCGTCATTCACTTTCTGACTGAAACCCAGACTCAAACTACATGTTTTGTCACAAAATCTCAAGGCTAACAAGCGTTTACTCAACTGAAATCTTGCCGAGCGAGTACTTACTTGACAATTTTTCCAGGTCGCAAGTCAAAGTTCTTCTTGATAATGGCCAATAATTCTTCTTCACTTTTAGACGAAGTCCCAAAGCTAAAGACAGTGATGGACAAAGGCTCTGCAACTCCCATGGAGTAAGAAATCTGAAGAAAAAAAAAAGTTTTCTTTCAGGTCCAGTCTGGTAAAAATTTCCTTGGTTAACCTAAGTTCATTAAGCAGGAAAAAATAGGTAATGTAGCAAAATAGGAATAACATTTATTCAGGAAATGGTGAATAAACACTGAACAATCTCTGCAAAATTTCAAAAAAAATTTTCTTTTCGAAAAAAGGTACACTGAGAGGAAGTACACATTTTCTATGAATACAGGAGCCCAGGCCTCCCAGACTGCAGTCCGTTTTAGTTTTGATACAGCCATTTACGTCTGAAAGAAAAGGCTGGTAATCATTTTGCTAATGTTTTAGAACGTGTAAACTGCTGCTTGCACTGTATGCTACCCTGGAAGTCGAAGACGTTTCTGAAATGTGTTGAGGTAATAATAATGGTGAAGCACAAACAGCACTCTGTAGAACTTTTTTATTATTTGTCATTGAAATTTTTAAAAAGGAGAACTCGTATCTCAAACATGATTACCTGCACAAGGGCTCTTCGGCACAGACCAGCCTTCACCAGAGATTTAGCCACCCAGCGAGCCGCGTACGAGCCACATCGGTCAATCTTCGCACCATCTTTGCCAGAGAGAGCCCCACCGCCGTGAGCGCCCCAGCCACCGTACGTGTCCACGATGATCTTCCTGCCTGTCAGACCAGCATCTCCCTGGAGAGACCAGAGTGACATGACGCCCGTCAAATTGTCTGTCTATTTGAGCTCAAGTGAAGTACATTATCACAATAAAGGGAACAAAGGGAGCCAGATCCCCAATGGATGCCCAGGATAAATTGTTCACTAGGTCAGACAAGCATGTCCCTGAAAGACCTTCAGGACCAATGGTCAGAAACTCAGAACAAGTAAGTGTCACTTAGCTCCATTATTTGGGTTTCCAATAGGTGTTCCACATTGAAGTGCCTCTCTCACTGTGAAATAACAACTTCATATCTCCAATCCCATCTAAAATGAAGAGAAGCAAAAACTTTTGGACTGCAATTTTGTGCCTTAAGTTTGAAATTATACCTACAGAGCAACCTGTCTACAGTAAAACTTGCAGTTGCAATCACCTCACTCCACAGAGAGCAACCCGTCTACAGTAAAACTTGCAGTTGCAATCATCTCACTCCACAACATGACTATCCATCTAGTTATCTATATATCTGACCTTCATAGGGAGACAATGGCATCTATTAATCAAAGCTTGACCACAGTGAAAATAAAGGAATAACCTTGCACAAAGCAACCTTTAACCAATCAGTCAGTTCAGAGAGGAAAGGTATCTTTATAAACATGACATCTCAGTTTAAAACGGAAACGAATGAAAAAAACCAAACGTGTAAAAACAAAACGAAAGCCAGGTAAAGAAGGAAAATTGTTCGAAAAGATCAGGCAGCTTTCTCTAACTTGACACTAAATTTCGATCAGAACTAATTTACTGATTCACACATACCTCTTCCATTGAAACAAACTGATATTTACCACACACTCCTATATACGGCCATCATTGTGAACAAAAGGTAGCTGCTAGAAACTGACATTACTGGGAATGGTATTAGCGATAAAATAATCCCCAAAACATAACTTCACGGTATGTTTTAACTATTTAAGAGAAAATCCTTAACATTTAAGTTTCCAAATAAAGTGACAAGTAAAGCACCAACTTCTGGTCTGATAAGAGGGAAGGCATATAATCTTTGACAAAACGACTGGCTTTATATATTATTATGTGGTCTTATGTGAAAGGACAGAAATAACCCCCCCCCCCAACCTTCACAAACACAACAATAATATGCACAGAATTTTCACACTCATTTGCATGGAGACCAAAAAAGCACCAGCAACACAGTACATAAATGTCACAAAGGGCTGTGCTACTAGACAGCTAACAGACATGATATGTCCCTCAAGCTGAAGATGATAGACAATAACAATAATTCAGTTGGCAAATAAAAGATTAACCCCTTTCTTGCCTTATGACGTCACATCATGAAAATACGAAATTTTTAGCACTGTGGCGTACCATATACATCACGGCAGTTGACAAAATTTGCCATTCTTGTTTGCCTATATGATGTTGCACGCACACCACGATAATAACCTGGCTCTAATTCTTCATTCTTGTGTAAGGAGTTTTAGCCACATGCGCTACGTAGATTTCTATTTAATAAATAAAAGATGCACATATCGGTATCAAATTTGCTATTATTACTTTATTGCTAGGCTTGCAGGCGATCGATAAACACAGATCTAAGCTTGTGGGTGTGCTCTCAAAAAATGTAAACATCAAAATGACTCTAAAAAGGTAAATAAATTCACTTTCTGACATAGATTTGCAGGCTATTCAAAATTATGACTAAGATGGGAGGAAATGGGAAATAAGAAAAGTGAGAAAAGAGACAAAATTGAAGACTTGGTGTCTGAAATATGTCACGAGTGCACTAGATCTAGACACTGTGTCCATCAGCACTAAGACATTAGGCTGCTGTCCTGGGTAATGAACTCAGCTGAAAATTAGTGCTGACTGTAGGATCGCATACCCCTTGGCACTGAAAAGGTTAAACATACAATAAAGACAGATGAACGTGCAGTGAATTAATTAGGTGTTACATGCTTGCATGGGATTCTTCCATAAACATGACAGAGTGGGTGGTTGACAGATGCTCTGGTATGGTTTGCTCCTTCTTTTCTGGCAAACATCCATCATCTCTATCTCTTCTCCTTCTTTTCTTTGTATTTTACCCTCCAGTAACACTTTCTTCTTCTTCTTCTTTGGCTGGCCTCCTGCGGGAGGGTGGCAGAACATGCAGTCAGATAGGTGACGACCTCTTTGGGTTTGGTCCGTAGCACATCTGGTCCGCTAATCTTTGGCATCTACAATATGGCCTGTTTGTGTGGAAAGTGCCCTAAAACTTTTCCTAAAACTAAACACGACAGAACTACATGAATAATACCTGAGGCCCGCCGATGATGAAGCGTCCAGAAGGCTGAAGATGGTAGACAGTCTTAGAGTCCAGGTACTTTGACGGGATGATAGGCTTGATGACCTTTTCCATCAGGTCACTCCGGAGCTGCTCCATGGTCACATGCTCTTCATGCTGCACCGAGATGACCACTGTGTGGACACGCATGGGCACTGTTGCACCTCGGTCAATTTTGTATTCCACTGTCACCTGTGAGAGAAAAAAGGAATTTTAAATAAATATTTCAGTTGTTAGCCACCGACAAAAAGACAGAATCACAAATATAACATGGAGTCCACTTATAAAACAATTAATGTTTAAGTATTTTAGACAAGGTCGCCATAACCGTATCAGAGGACAAAAATCAGACTGGTGTGATGACTGTTTATTCAAAAGTTTTATAAGCACAAAAAAATATCTATAGTGACATCATTGACAAGTGTAAAAAAAAGTGCATATGAAGAAAAGTATGTTAAAAGCCCTCTGCCAGCTTTAAGAAAATGCTTATTTCCCCAAACAAAAAAAACTGTTACCAGAGTTAGACTTGCGTTGGGCACAAAGGACAAAGAGCTTTCTGAAAAGCTGCAACTGCAACATGACCTTACACAGAAGATAGTCCAATATTGCATTCTTGCAAGGACTGTTCTCCATGTTGATAATGTAATCTCAGTCACATCTCGCAGCCATCAAGACAAGACAAACCAGGTTTAAATATAGGCAACTGACCACTAAGTCTAGCACTACTCTCATGTCCCTTGGGATCCAAAACTGTGCCCGGTGAAGCATAAAATTTGGTTCCCCCTGGGCAGTTGTCCTACCTGATGAGACTGACCAATGTGATCAGTGTGAATGATCTTGTTGACACATAAAAACAGGACTGACCTTCTTTTTAATGCAAACATCCTATGACATTTCCATAAAAGGAATTTTGCCTTTCTAAGTTGACTTCACCTCGCGAATGTTAGAAGCTTTACAAAAACGAAACAAATTCCAGTTCCTTTCCACAACACACAATTCAACAGCTTTCTAAAAAAAGGTGCCTATTCAATTCTCACTCAGGAGCTTCAGTCTCTCACCTGAGTTTTAGAGTCTGGTCTTGCCCACGCCAGCTCCCCACTTTTACGCAGCTGTGCCATTCGGGCATTGAGCTGATGGGAGAGCTGAATGGTCAGGGGCATGCACTCCTCTGTCTCATCTGTAGCGTAACCAAACATCAGACCCTGGCACACACAGAAAAAAAGGCAGTTGGTAAGTTTTTCAGTACACAAAGTCAGGGGAGCAAAAGAAATACAAAGATGTCTTTTTCAACTCATGAAAAGATAAACTCTGCTGACAACATGGGTAATGATAAGGCTAACAGCATAATGATAATGTCTTAGACACTGCTGTCTGGTGGACAGATGATACACACTTGAGAAGCACTAGAAATATGAAGGAGTTTTATCTGCTGTAGCCTACCCCATGTGCTACTGCACATAATATTGGGTTGGGTTTTTTTTATAGTAGAGGTTTTACGGTGCTCGCAACTGCATAAGGTCATATCAGCGTCAAGGGGTGGATGTCAGCAGAGAAGTCTTTCCAGGAAATTGGGCTTACTCTGCTCACCTCTCCAGCTTCAACAGCACAAAGTCTCTGTTTCGACTTTCAAGGCTCCCCGGAAATAGCGGCTCACAAGAGTGTGACAAGCATACAAAAGAAGTAGAGTAAAATGACGATAGTAAGGATTAGGAAAGAAAAAGCAGCTGTTCCCTGTTGTAGTTCAGGCACAGTTATGAGCATGACATTGTTGAATCAGCCCATTTCTACTGTGCATGAACGAGAAATGTCCCCCACTTTGGGAATGGCCTAAAGACACTTCAGTCAGTGGCACCGCCACGGGAGGGGGGGACGCGCGCATAATACTGTTTGTAACTGTCTCCTCCTGCTTATGTGGAAGTTGAAACTGTCTTTCCATACACCCTATTTCTAGTGTACATTACAGCTATCTGCATTATCAACATGTGCAAAAGTTTTAGAGATCTATAATACCACACCATGGGACATAATAAAGGAGACGTCTATACCTGGTCGCCTGCAGGATCATTTTCTGCTGAGCTGCCGTCTGGTTCCTGGTAATAGTGACTGGAAAAGGAATTTGAATGGGGCTCCTCAATTGCTAGCAGCACATTGCAAGTCTTGTAATCAAAGCCTGAAAAAAGAAATCGTACATTCATTTTCCCTCAAAGATGATGATAAAGGAAACTTTAACACACCCCCCCCCAAAAAAAACCCACAACAAACGAACAAACCTGGTAAATACGTAAGTAAATTATACCTTTCCGAAAGGAATCAACCCCCCCAAAAAAACAACAACAACAACAACCAAAAACAACAGTAACAAATACAAGAAAGGAATAAAAGATTTAAAATCTTGATTGTGATGAAACAAAACTGTTGTGAGCTTCCACATTATGATTGACATTATATAAGTACATGTACATGCATTTCTGTGCTTGTCAACCTTGGCCTAAAATGAACACGAGAAAAGAATTAAAAAACAAAGAAAAAAACAAAACAACAAAAGAATCACACAAATATATACGAATGAGACTGAAACACAAGAATAAGAAATCAAGCTGATACAATAACTATTTAAATACCTTTTGTGCTGCCATCATATCCAATGTTTTTGATGGTGCTCCGTACCACCTTTTGAATATCAATAGAAGCTTTTGAAGCGATGTCTCCACAGACAAAAATCATGCCTGTCTTGGCAGCACACTGGCAAGACACCCTTGCATAGGGGTCAACTCGTAACAAACTGTCAAGTACTGCATCACTCACTTGATCGCAAATTTTGTCTGTGGAAACAAATTTGGGAAAGTATGAATTTGGTTAAAATAACTTTAATACTTTAATGTGCAGAACACTTTGAAACCGGGAGTGACCATTGTGAAGAGTCTCGGGACAAGGAACTTTACCTCAAACTTGGAGCGCTGCTACTTTAACAACAATAAAAGTGACATTATATCATTTTTAAAAGGCTTAAAAATAAAAGATGATATTCTTAATTTGCATTGTCCCATCTCGACTACAGTAGCTACCTCCTTGCAAACGGCAGACAGCAGCAACTCATTGGCTGCTATGCTAATGAAATTGCAAAGAAGTTGCTCAAAGGGTACATTACACTGATGCTGAGCGGGCTTTACTGGCTCTTCATAAAAGCTCAAGCACATCTTTATATAGAATAAGAGCAAGGAAAACAAAAATATTTGGTCATAGGAAGTTTCTGGAAATTTCTGGAAAATGTGGCAGAGGACACTTTAAGACAAGATGAACTCACATCAAGGAACCACTGGAGTCAAGGCCAAAGGATGGCTTTCAGAGAGACTGTTAGGAAGGCTGCCCCTCCAAAGGGACATGATGTAATCTAGAAGAACAAGTATTATAACTAAATTATTATTCTTAATTTTGAAAGCATTAAGATTGCTCCATTTGTAACTCTACAATGTAATGTCTCACTCAAAAGAAGAGCAAGATGCTAAGTGGGGAAAAGTATTTTAATTTCTCAATAACTCTTTGGTCTGCCACGCAGTCTCTGGCTCTGAGAAAAATAGGACAGCCTTGGGGCTAGCGTGTCGTAAGAGGTGACTAAATGACAACACAGGTAGTGCCTCCCGACAAAGAGATACCTGGTCCTCTAGGTTGGAGGTTGGGGGCAGAGCTAGCACCCCTTCCCTATAAAATAAATGTCAAGAAGAGGAAAAGCTCTTCTTGATAGCCTATACCAAATGCCAAGGTGAAAGAGGCGAATGAAGATGATAATTTTTCGGTACTTTCAACCGACATATCCACTGGAACCACAAAAGTGACCTAAAAGGGATACAATTACTTTGAGATACGAGAAAAAGAACACACATTTTTTTAGATACACGCCGCAGTTCAAATGATTTTTTTGCCTTGAGATATATGAGCTAAAATTTCAAATGCAAGCAAGTTTCAATTAAGTTAATTTTCCACATCATAGACTAAGCAGCCGCTACTAGCCTAGGTTAGTTATCGCTAGGCGAGCTGGTGTTTCCCTCTCTCTCTTCTCCATCAATTGGCCTCTTTGACTAGTTTGAACTTAATGGTTTAGTACACTTTATTTCTTCATAATTTTTTTCTTCTGTTATTGCTTGTAAAAATTTCTTGTTCATACACACATCTTTGCTTGTAAGAAACCCACACACAAAAAATAGGGTTGAGTTTAGGAAACTAAGAGTGATATCACTTCATGAGCTCGATCTTGGAACAAGTTAAACTCGTATATATATATATGAATTTTTTTTATATCTGTCTGTCTAGATCTAGACCTAGGCCATAGATCTAGAAGAACCTAGTTCTACCCTGAGCCAAGAGGGTGCTGAAACTTTCCGAAATCACAAAAGAGTTCCCCTACCGGGTCTGTATACTTTGTGACTTTATTCCCGGTTACCGGGTCTGTATACACTCCCTAATTTAATTTGTACTCTAAAACTCATATTCCACGCAAGGCGTTACATGATTAATGATCTCTTCTCAATCTAATAGCATAAATTATACCCTGCCGACCCCACCGTTCGCCCCCACATTCCCTTCGCCAACTCTTTCCAACTCTCTCTCCCTCCCTCTCTTTGATTTCTTTTATTGACACATAACAACAACTTGGGTGCATACGTGAGCAAGCAAATTTCAAATTCTGGTTCACCCACGGCCACTGGATACCTCACAATCGTATTCAGATATTTTAAACATTCTCCTGGTAATAACTCCTTACGTCAGGAGCTTCGTTAAACTGGCCGTTTTCCTCCAGTATTTTTGCAAAGTAAAGTCCAGATGCATGCACATATCTGCGCACGGCCCCGTAACACCAAGCCTCAGCCTCAGCGCAAAGGACGTACGGTCCCCTCCTCGCGCCGAACACTATGGGGGCGTACGGTCCCCTAACAATATAGCCTTTTCCTTATTACTATTTTTCGGAAGAGGCTAGCCGTACTTAATGACGGCTAGACTGGCAGTCTAGCCGTACTTATTCTTAATATGATGGCTAGACTGACCATTTACAAAAAATAGGCCTACTGAATTGTAAATATACATTTTTAGTGTGCAGTACCTAAAGCATTTGTATTTGAGACGAAACCAGGTGCCTTAATGACAGTGTATGTATTTTAAAACCTCCTGTTTTCTAATGTTAATTGGGCCTAAGACCTAAGATAAGTACGGCTTGACTTCTTGTCTAGCCGTACTTAAGTAAGTACGGCTAGACTTCTTGTCTAGCCGTACTTAAGTACGGGTAGACAGCCAGGCTAGCCGTACTTAACTTAAGGACGGCTAGACTGTCAGGCTAGCCGTACTTAATATTGATGGCTGTATTGTAAATGAAATTTTTAGTTTGCAATGCCAAAAGTATTTGTATTTCAGACAAAACCAAAAGGTGCCTTACTGACTTGCATGTATTTGAACCTGAATAATTACTAGATCTAGGTCTAATGAGACCTGTGTACTTAACAGGCTTGAGTCGATTGGGCCAAACCTAGATCTAAGTACGGCTAGACTGCCAGTCTAGCCACTTCGCTATTTTTCAGCTATGGAATAGTTTCGATGAAGATTAGGCTAATAATTTATAACTTTAAGAAAAAAAAAGCGTTAGGCTGATCCTCCAAAACTCTACTAGATCTAGATCTAGATCTAGCACAACAATTGAAGGGGTTATTTCAATAGCGTACCAAAGTCACACTAGGGTAGTTTTGAAAAGGCCAAAAACTGTTTCTCATTAGATCTAAATCTAGTATTGCACTGGGAAAGGCGAGCTCTGAAAATCAAAGATACAGTCTCCACAGAAGGCTGTCAGGGCGCAGTCCCCTTTCTTTTATCCTCCTATGCTAAAATCTCGATTTCCTTTCGCAAATATGGAATTAGGTTAGGTACGTTATTGAAATGACCCCTTCAATTTTGGAGAGGAAATATCTAGATTATAGATATATCTAGATCAAGAATCTAGATATCTAGATCTATACAAGCGAAGTCATTTCATCACACATACTTGGGGTGTGACAAGACAACCGGGCGACGAAATTCTAGATCTAGAATCTATATCAAACAAACAAAAAAGAAGGAGGAGAGATTTTGGCGCTTTTTCGGTAGTTCCCACCCCCCTTATTTGATAGAGCCTGACCTACATCTAGATATCTAGATCTATATACGTTTGATTCGCGGCAAGCTAAGATGTCAAACCTAACAACTGCAAAACATTAAGTTGTGGTAAAATTCAGGGTGGCATGCCCCCCTGAAACCCCCCACCTTGTTTTTATTAGATTGAATCTAGATTCTAGATCTAGGCCTCTATCGAATCTAGATCTAGATCTAGATCTAGATTTCTAGATTCTAGACAAGATTACTAGATTCTACACAAATCAAAATGTAGACAGACTCTAGATATCTAGATCTAGATATCTAGATCTAGACTTTAGATCTAAATTAGATCTATCTAAATCTTGATTCTAGATCTAGATTTAGATCTAGATATCTAGATTTCTAGATCTAGATTCTAGCTAGATTAGATCTAGATATCTAGATCTAGATTCTAGATATCTAAATTGAATTAATAATATTATTAATATAGATTCTAGATCTAGTACCTGGATGACCCTCTCCAACTGATTCAGAAGTGAACAGAAAAGTTTCTTCCTGGGACGGGAATTCGCCAGGAAAATTTGTGTTACTGTCCATAATGTTGTTCAGTGATAAGCTTGTCAACAGCTAGTTTCACCGGCAGGTTCCTGATCTAGTGACTAGTGACAGACCCACATGAAATGAGGTCGAGAAAGGGAAACAACGGAGTTTTATATCTATTGCTAGGGGGAGCATCGTTATTTCAAATACGTAAAAAATACAGTATTGCTATACCAAAATGTTTTGTACTTTTGTGCAATACCTCATATTAAAAAAGATATTTCTAGATTACTAAAATAGCTACTTTCTTCTTTACAAAGAATAAATAGACCTAATTGAGGCAAAAATTAAATTCAACAACAAGTCGGTCTTCGTTCACATAACAGATCGCATAATTAGATTCTAGACTAGGCTTAGCCAACTCGGCTTCTTCGTCGGCGAGTGGTGAGTTGTTGTGTTGAGTGAGATCTGAGAACAGGATCCGATGCAATAGAATAGAGTCAAGATTGCAACTGAGGACACGAGAGTTGAGGACACCACCGGGTTCACGTAGGCCTACGTCTGTGGTTCGTTTTTAAACGGTTTGCAAAGTCGAGATTTTCTCCAAATTGTTTAGAAATCTAGTCAAGTTTTGTGTAGAAAGTACATAATAATAAAGGCAATCATACACCTCATAACGATCATGAGGTGCAATCAATTGATAAAAGTTAGCAAAGGTGGTACCACTGCTAAAATGTTTCAAAGACAAGCTTAGGCTAGAGCTATTCCAAAATTTGAAATGCTTCCAATGGATGAGCAGATTTGTGCCCTTTATTCAAGGGTAAATCTTCTCTAAAACAATACTATTCCAAAACGAAGTGGGGATACAAAATCTTTATTTAATGTCAGGGAAGGATGGGCTGGTCCATGATCTAGAGGTTCTGAAGTGCCTCAGGAAACATATCTATGCCCCCATGATCAGACCTCGTAGTAAGCGCCGGAGAGATAAAATGATATGACGCTTACGAGGAATGATTACACTACCGTGGGTGTGATCAGACCTCCTAAGCCTAAGCAATGACTATTGTCGTTTACGAGGTTTGATCACAGTAATAAAATGTTGGTAAAGTGCTTAGCGACAATATTTTCCAACAACAGAAAAACCGACTCCAGTAGATGGTGGTCAGGACACCAAGTGAGACCAGGGATGTTAGTTAGAGTTTGATTTCCGGCCGGGTTACAATTAAAACACTATATTAGATCATTTTGCCCTCTCCTGGCTGCCGCACCCTGCACTGGAGACAACAGAAGTGCCATCACTGGTTGGCCTTTGCCAGAATATCGAGGCTGGATGATGTGTGTATTAAATTGTCTTACACTTCATGTGCATGTTCAGCAATGCATTTTCTTATTTACTCATTTTACATACAAATTTCTTAAAGCATCTCAAAAGTTTAAATTTAAAATCAAAAGATTAAGTTATTTGTCAGCAATGTCAAATTAAATCTTGAATAAATATCAGGCTCATGGGAGAACTTTGGCACCAGACAAAGATCTCCGAAGTCACACACACGCACACACACACACACACACACACACACACACACACACACACACACACACACACACACACACACACACACACACACACACACACACACACACACACTCACATGCATAAACACACACAAACAGACAAAGAAACACACACATAAATAAGTAAAATTATGATGAAACGCGATATATTGAATAGAGGGCATTTGCATGATAATGGCGTACACAATGTAATAAAATACTTAGTGGGGTGTCTTCTCAACGTGTCTTAGAACAGCATTAATTCTATTTTGGTAACAGCAACCTTCTAAATAGATATCATTGTTTCACCCATGACTTTAGTTTTTAGATAGTCAATAATTCATAAACAGACCGACAATTTCATCCTCTCCTGTATGTCAAAAGTTGCATCTCACATCTTTTGTCTGCAGTTGTAAAGTTGTGCATGGACAATTTAATTTTGTAATAAAGCGATGGAGCTATAATTAGACAAGGCGCCAAGAGGACAGACTGAAGGTCCATGGCGATTACACAGTTTGTTACCGTTGCTTGCTGCAGCGAGTTTCTTATTGTTGTCCTTTTAGACTTGAGCTTGTGACTTTCTTTCACTGAAACACTTCCAAATCTCATCACTGACTTTTCCGCCCGTATAACCCCCACACAGTCGCAACGTGTGTTAACGGACGGATTTTCTACATGGAAAGTGCCCCTGAATGCCGAGATGGCCAAAGGCAGTTGTTATTTTTTCCTGGTGACAAAGCGCAACATACTTCTGTGAAGTTCGTTTTTTTACTATTGAAAATTGGCTCAGTATACAACTTTCCTAATTTGTTTTCGATGATAATTTAATGAGAACAACTCAATTTGGACAGTTTTGTAAAGAAATTTTCAATAAGAAATGTTTTCTGCACTGATGCTTTCTTGTAGTGAAGGTTGTCTCTTGCGACAGTGTCTGGGCTACGCTCTGTGCTGGCAATTTCATTGGTGACAGAAGTGTCCCCATCTATCATCATCAATTGTTTTCCTGAAGAACATGCAGTTGCAAACACAGAGTTTCTGGCGTTCTTTTTCCAAAAGATATTCAACATCCATTTATGTCTAGAGATACTCAGGACTCTCTTCCGTTTGGGCGTTTAATGCATGCTGCTTTTCTATCTCAGGATAGGGGCCAGATATTTATAATTGAGGACTTTCTGTCTGTGTCACATTCGGAAAGTTCTTTGCACTTCAATCCTGCTCTCTTGCATTCACATGACCTTTTCATTTCTCATACTGGTTTGTGTTTATCATTTCAGACGTACGCCTGACCTTGCTTGCATAAATCCATTCGTTAGTTGTTTTGCTTCCGTTCTGCTGGAACTGTCTTCCATTGTAATTTTTGTTTTTTAAAGTCAGACTGTCCACATGATCTTGTTCAGACGACATATTATCATATGCTGTTGGGGAACCATGCTAAGAATGCAACATTGCTTCCGCAATTTGTGGCGTATACTTTACTTTACTTTTACTTTTCCGATCCAGCGGCCATTTGGGTTCTAGCCCTTCGGTCTGTTGATATGGCAAAGAATTTGTAGGTTTTAATCAGCTGTGCTTTGTCGCTGTATAGAATATTTCCGATGTCTGGGGAGGCAGGTAGGTAGGTGCTACACAGGTCACAAAGTGCTGGGCAGTTAAAGAGGTGGTGTGGTACTGTTTCATCCAGGCAGTCGGGTGGGGTATCCTTGCGGATCCTATTAAGGTAGGAATGTAGTGGTATGTGTTGTGTTCGCAGGCGAAAGATCGTGACTTATTCTCTTCTGCTTAGGGAATTTATTGCATCTTTAGAGTCGGGGGCTGTCATGTGTGCAAATACAGTTCTTCCAGTTTGGCCCATTGCCCATCCATTCAGCCGCTGCTCCCTGGTGTTGCATTTGATGATGTTCTTGGCTGTCTGTTGTGATAGTGGGTTGTGTGGTTGTGTTTGTGATGCTCCCTTCTTGGTAAGGGTGTCTGCTCAGTCGTTTCCTGGGATGTTGCTGTGGCCAGGTATCCACTGTAGTGTCAGGTCGACGGCATAGGTCTGTATGAAGGTGTTGATTGTTTGAGCCACAGATAGGCAGGCTGGGCTTTCGAAATTCAAGTTTTCCAAAGCTTGGAGTACTGACTTTCCGCCTGAGAAGATAATAGTGTTCTTGATTTTGTTTGTGTGTATTATGAAAATGTTGGTCAGGTGGAGGATTGCTGATTCAATGGCGATGGCCTCTGCCTCGTAATTTGTACAAGAAGTACCACATGCATCAAATAGCTCTTCGCATGTTTTGTCAGGATGTTCAATTCTTACCCCAAAGCCTGCATTTATAGTTCCCTTGAAGGCTGACCCGTCTGTGTAAATATGAATTGATTCACTAGGGTAGGAGTCAATTGTCTTCAGAGCTGTTGTCTTCAGTTCTACTGGGTCACATTCCTTTTTCACTGTCTCTTTTATGAGGGAAGTTTTGATGTTGGCATTCTTGATGTTAGTGTTTGGGGGGGAGTTCTGGTCTTAAGGGTTTCAGCATTTCTCTGTTATGGAAGATGGTGTTTTTCTGCTAGTTCAGTGGCTGTGTCAAGTATTGATCTTCCATGAATCCGTTTCTTAGGTCGTCTCTGTTCAATTATTTTCCTGTTTGGGTGGTTTTTCTCTAGTCTTTTGTAGCGCTCACTCATCTCCACAACTGCTGCCTCTCTCCGCAAGTCCAAGGGTTCCAGATTCATGTGGATTTCACAAGCTGCAGTTGGAGTGGATCTCAAAGCTCCGGAGATAAATCGTACAGCTTGATTTTGAATTTTGTCAAGAGACCTCTGAGTTGGTTTGCTGTGATCAGATTGTCTGTAAGGTTAGGTTATATTCCATGGCAGAGCGTACATAGCCAACATATAGCTGTCTGAGTGCATCCTTGTCCACTCCCCATGAAGTGCTAGCCAGTCGTCTGAGAAGGTTAAGACTCTTGTTGGCCTTGGTCTTCAGGTTCCAGATATGGTTTTTGCATGAAAACTGTTTGTCCAGCTCGATCCCAAGGTAGGTCGGGTTGTCAACTTTTTCTAGTTTGTTTCCTGCAAGTGAGATGGTGAGATTTTGCTTTGCAACTTTGTAGCTTTTTGTAAAGACGGTGTAGATTGTCTTGGTGCAATTTGCTTTTAGTTTCCACTTGCAGCAGTAGTTGTTGAATCTATCTAGATCCTCATTTATAAGCCGTGCACTGATGCCAGCTTGTTTACTTGTATGCCAGATGGCAAGGTTGTCGGCATATAGGGCCTTCTCCGATTTCAGTGTCTCAGGCAGGTCGTTGATGAAAACAAGGAAAAGTGTGCAGCTCAGAGAGGAACCCTGGGGTAGGCCCTCCTCCAGTACAGCTTTGGATGACACACCATGGTTAATCCTGGTCTGGATCGTCCTGTCTGTAAGGAAGGTCTTCACCCATCTGTAGAGTTTCCCGTGGATTCCTGTCTGTGTCATTTTCCACAGGAGGCCTTTTCTCCATACCCTGTCTTAGGCTTGCTGGAGGTCAACGGATGTACTCTGGACGAGGCCACAAGAGGTTGCCGCTTACCTGTCTGCCTGCGGCAGACTGCCGCCCTCCTAACGGAGGCCAGCCAGAAGAAGAAGAAGAAGAAGAAGGTCAACGAATACTGCAACTGTGTGCTTCTTTTCCTGGAAGCCATCAAGGACTTTCTGACTGAGCCTGAAGAGCTGGTCATCTGTTCGTTGGCCCGCACAAAATCCTGCTTTGTTGCTGTCCAGGGCACCGGTTGTTTCCAACCACCAGTATAGGCCGTGGTTGACCATTTTCTCTGCCAATTTCGCGATGCATGAGGTGATTGAAATGGGTGGATAGCTTTTCATTTCTTCAGCAGGTTTTCCTTTCTTGAGAATGGGTGTGATGATGGCGTTTCTCCATGCTCTGGGGATGGTGTTTTCATTCCACGTCTTGTTGATCAGCTGGAGAATGTAACTTTTACCAACGAGACTGAGGTTGACAAGCATTTCATTGTGGATCTTATCTGGTCCTGGGGATTTGTGGGGCTTCAGTTTCTTCATTGCCCTGTTGAGCTCAGTGAGTGTGAAGTCATCTTCAAAGAGAAAGATGCTTGCATTTGGCGCATGCTCTTTTTCCTTCAGTCTTTTCATACAGTCTCTATGTTGGTCAGTGTGGGGTGTAGCTTTGTTTATAGAAGCAAAGAACTTGTTGAAGGTTTCTGCCTTTTTTTGGTCTTCTACGATGGTGCCTTCCTCTGTGTCCATGGGTTTTGGGTTGTTTCGGCGCTTTTCTCCACACAAGTTGGAGAGAAGTGACCAGGCTTTGGCTCCGTTTCTATGTAGGTCAAGGTCAGCAACTGTGGTGCTCCATTTGTTTCTTTTGGCCAAGAGGGTTGTCTGTTTGACCTTAGCTGAGGCTTTTTTATAGTTAATTTTGTTTCCTGTTGTAGGATTGCTTTCAAGAGTTTTTCGAGCATTTTCTCTGTCTTGGACTGCTTGTTCGATGTTCTCGTTCCAGAAGGGCTTGTACTTCTTCCTGCAACCCCTAGGGATGCAGAGAGCTGCAGCTATTTGTGGCATTGTATATATGAGCAGATAGATCAGGGGAATCTCTATAGATATTATATTTTGTGAAAGTCCTCACTTTTTGCTGCCTAAAACTTCCGCACCACTTAACTTTCAAATTTGACAAAATGAATGGTGGTTCAGAATCATTTAAAGGGTGCAGTTTAATTGAGGAGCTTGAAGTCACTGTAATTTAATTTTCAGGTTTTCATTAGTTTCGTTTTGATCTATTCTTGGGAAAGTCCGTCTTCTAAAACGACATTGTAAACAAGTGAGGTTTCTGTTCACTAGCCGTGCGCACTGTTTCCGCACCTTTGAAATTCTGTAGTGTACAACCACGAAAGCGGAATAGGAAATTAATCTATACATCTATTATATATTTGGCAACTTGGAAACACATTTGTCACTTTTCTCTCAAGATTTATTGCTCCATTCCAGTAGAGTGTAGATATAGTAATACAGGGAGATGAGAAGCCGTTGTGTCGGATGCGACACAGATTTTACCGTTAGACACATCTTAACCGAATTTCTAGACTTTGGAGAGATCCGAAGGAAATATTATAAATGCAAGAAATTGCAAGACATTATTTCTGTCGTTGTTCCCAGCAGAATATTGAATTTTATGAAGGCCATTGGCCTTTATGGCAAATTGTAAAGTAAAACAATATTGATAAATAATTTTTATTGTTATTTATAAGAGTTGTTTTAAATCGCAAATATATTTACTCTGAATTTTAGTATTTTAGTATTTTAAAGTCTAATTGTCGACCAACCGTGCAGTGAACTGTTGCGAATGCTTCCAACTTGTGTTTCGTGCGCTCATATGACCTTATGCAGTTGCGAGCACCTTAAAACTCTGTACTACTACTACTACAAAATATAATAAGCCTTTGACTTTCAGATGATGATAATTCACCGACCATTCCTTTCATCGAAAGGGGGCCCAGCTAGTCTAACATCAAGGTGAAGCATGGTCAACCTCGAGTGAGACATGAGGTGACTGAACATATGGATTTGATAAATGGGTTTTCAGAACTAATGCAGGCTCAGCAATGGGTGGTGCCGGGTCAGCAGTGAGTGACATATTATGGGGTGATAACTTTGGACAACGGGGTGAACCAGACAGAGAAGATGGTTCAGGATTGACCATGAGGGATACAGGTGGGTGTGGTGAAGTGGATGTCAGAAGTGAAGCAGATTCGACATAAGATGATGATTCGTCTATTGTGACTGATACAAAAGGTGTCGGAACTAGAAGATATGGTGAATCAGGTACAGAAGGTAGATAAGGGTTGCTTTGACCACTCCTAAGCGTCGATGACCTGTCTCGAATCACCACGCTCAGTTACATGTATTATAATCAAAGCTTGTAAGCGACAGGATGGCGCTACGAGTTCTGATCACAACTGCGTTTGAGGAGGGATGGACTTAAGATTTTTTTTTTACTTGTGATAAAAGACTCTTTTATGCATTTTTTTCATGTAAACCTTCTGTTGGCGTTTGCACAGTAAACAGTAGAATGTCATGGTGTGAAAAAGTTGATTTTACAAAAATTGTCGCTCATGAGGTCTGATCACGGGGGAATCGATAGTGTTTTTAGGTTAATGGAAAGTGTTCCTAGGCATGTTTGGTACAAGCTGTATGTGGACAATTGGTTCAATTCCATTCCCTTACAGATCACTCTCTGGAACCAGGGTACTGCATGTGTTGGGAATGTCAGAGTTAACAGATTGAAAGGGTGCACAGTACCATCTGATGCAGAGTGGAAGAGAGAGGTGAGGGGGGCAACTGTAATGAACACAGGTGTTTCAGAAGGGGTGGACTTGAATGTCGTTAAATTGAGGGACAAATAAAAGGAGAGCACATTTTCCTAGGAAGCTAACACTAAAGTTTCCGTTTCTCTCTAATTTGACGAATTAAGCTCAGAAATTTAACATTTATGTCTATAGATGGTTTATTTATTTCATCAACTCTATTTTGAAATTTTTCATGAAAGTTCATTTTTCGGGAAAAAAAGGGGATCTAAAATGTGACTTTTTAAAATGAAATGACTCACAGTTGAACCTGTTCAAGATGATGACCCATTGTCCATTAAGAGAAAATGGTCATCTTAGACAGGTGGTCCTCTTGGAGTACAGTGTCATTATAATTTTATAAATAGTAGAAAAAATGTAGTGCCATTGGATATGTTGGTAAGAGGATGGAGCCTGCTACGACTAAATATGAAGTCCCTCAGGTTATAAATGTAATGACTAAAAAAAACCATGAGAAAATATAAATCACAGATCAAAAGTGTTAGATCTATACAGTAGAACACGGCTATAGCGGGACTTTTGGTTCCAGAAGAAAAGTCCCGCTGTAGGCGAGTTCCCGCAAAAGGAATGCAAAGGGGAAATTACTGAATTAAAAAAATAGACACGGTTACATCCCTTCCATATCAATAAAATTTGCGCTTTAGATTAGTCTTTCTTTTCTTGTCAACTTTGTTGATTGCCTTGGCCTTTCATTCGAGTGAAAAGCATTTCCTTTTGTCTTTGTTGGAAGCCATCTTTTCCTCGGTTTGTTGCTTGTGCTGTCTATCCTACTGGTAGGCCTACTGTAGAACTGGTGAAGTGTATGCGTGCGTATGCTTGAGCATCAACGATCGCAATTCAATGAATCAGGAACTACACACTACACGCTCTCCTCTTCTTTTACTTTTTGGCCAAGCTTAGGGCTAGGACTATTACAGATCTACATCTCGTTTGGAGTGGTTCACGCAACGCGTCTCTCCGCACCATCTCTCTCTCCACACCTTTTCTCTCTAGGCCTACCGCCTGCCCGACCTCACTCATCTCTGGACTAGCCAATCACAACGTCGACTGCCTGTTTGGAGCCCGCCTACAGCCCCCTCCCCAAACTAGAACTCGCTGGATCTCTCCTGCAGTATCCGAGTTCGGGATTCCCTTGTCCAGCGATTCCAAGCATAATAAGTAATTGAGTTTACATAGGAAGAAAAATGGGGATTCCGGTAATGTCCTGCTATAGCGGGTGCCGCTATAGTCATGTTCTACTGTACCTTGTTATTGGCAGTAGGTTACCATGTTTGAAACCAGGAAAAGGGACTCACCTGTGCGTCAGTGTAGGCCTACCTGATTTGTGCCTTTCACTTTATATGTTGAGCAAATTTGACAATGATTCTTTGGTTGGACTGTGCATCCTCCATGTTGAATCATGATCATGATTAGAATATCTATTCTGCTTCCCATCCAAAACAGAATACTTCTATGAAAATAGATTAAGATTCCTATTTAAAACTACCTCAACTCACTGATTGATCCAACACAGGGATGCCTGTTTTAATGTTTGCCCGATCTCCACTCACACAGGTGCAGGCCTACTCAGTACTCAAGACACCATTGATTGTTAACCCACCCAAAGCTTCATTCAAGTGTAAACATATAAGTTTGGCCTAGAGGCACCATCCCAGTAACAATCATGGCTTAATTAAAGAAAACACAGAGAGCTGTGGGGAAAAGGAGCCTGGAACTTTGACAGTATGCAAATTAGATGTCAAGCGATGTCAAAACTTACAGACATGCGTCACACAGTGCTTGGCTTCAGCCCCGATTCTTAGTAGAACCATCAGTCTCTGTCTCAGCCTTGAGTCATGCAAGGTCAATACCCCAGTTATGTTCAGTCTGTGGGAACTTAGCATTGGGGCTTCAGGACCAAACCAAAAAGTTTCATTGTCCTTGATAAGCAGCAAAATTGAATAAACTGTGTTCAAAACAATCTCAGAAGTTTAGTCTCTGGAAGTATTTTTAAAACCTGAATTACTTAGTGCAGAAAATCTTTATTTTCAAGCTGTCATAATTTTTTTGTAAATTCCGCAGGTCCATCAATCACCAACAAGGGACTTTGTTCTTAAGTTCCCAGTATGAAGATTCTTTGGAGCAACGCCCAAGGTCTGAAAAGGACATTCAGAAAAATTTCCTTTGTCCACAATGGACTCGTCAGTTCAGGTTACAAATTTTGTGGCGTTTTTGGCTGTAACTCCTTTTCACCGACTTGCACAAATGTCGCAAATGTTCATGCACCAATGCTCCAGCCAGGCAGTTTCAATCACTTCTGCACATCATCTGTTCGGCAGAAAGGAGCTCCAGGTTTAAAATCAAAGGAAGACCCCAGGACTAAAGATTACTCCGAACTGTATTTGTTACAAAGGATAACATTTTTACGTGTGCTGAGTCGTTTTACAAAATATTCTTCCCTTTTCTTTGTAGGAGGAGCACCAATGTTACTTGCTGCAGCACAGATAGAAGCAGTTTCTTGGGATAATGCTATTTCTCTAAGTTCTGTGTTAGCATTTTATTCGCTTCTGTTCACTTGTCAAAGTATTGTCTTTTCTTCAAAAGTCGTTGGAAAAATAATGATCAGTTCCGACGAAAAATTTCTGAAAATATCTCACTTATCCATCTTTGGGGCAAGGAGAGATATATATGTCAGTCCAAATGATTTGGTTCCCACAACAAGAGATGTTTTTGCCAGTAATATTACAACTCTTAGAATAAAAAACTTTAGTAAGACCTTGTTCTTTCTTCCAAAACAGGGAGGTCTGGACACAGATTATGAAGCTCTTGAAAAGCTTCTCATTAGATAATATGCGAGTGATTAAGCAAGTAATCAGTGAAGCTTGGATTTTACAATTATTTATGTACATGTAGGCTATATAAAATGAATGTATTTTTGCACTCTGTTGATGTAGCTGTGAAGGAAACAAAGATGAAAACTAATGAACATTACAAGAATGTTTAAGTTCCAAGGACCCCTTTAGTAGGCTGTTTCATATATATTACTCTCGAGTCAACTGTTCCATGCAATAGGACAATGTGTCGAAGTGTTGATACCTACTACAGTGGAACTCGGATTCAACGAGGTTGCCGGGCCTGACTTAAAATCTCGTTGAATCTGAGTGTTCGTTATTATAGCCAACACGAGGTTTTGTATCAATACTTACTACAGGCACTGAGCAAGTACAATGTAATGTATGAGGAGAAGTCACAAGTAGTGCCTGAAATGCCTGCATATTGTGAGCTGTGTAAAAAAAAAAGGCCGATTCGTTCAAATGCATAAAAAGTTGTGTTGCTGTGTAGAGCCTATAGCATATGGTAACTTTTGATTCCGTAGACCAGCGCACAATTTTTTACGTAGATCTACGTCAAGACAAACTTATCATTGTAATAATGATCAGTTGCCAAAGGGAAAAAAAAGACTGTGAGTGTGACGCGTTTGTATCTTTGTATCTGCGACATTCAACGCCCGGACTGCTAGTGCCCCCCCCCCCGACACCCACACACAGTCATACTTGTGCAGGCCGCCCCTTCGACCCCGACACATGCCAGAGTAGACATGTGCGCATGCCAACAACGCATGTGTTGGGATGAAAAAAGGCCGCTGATTGGTCACATGCCATCAGCTAAGTGAATAATGCCAATGGTTCACGATGCCGGTGCATTGGATGGTTTCCGGGAATAGATAAAGTTCGTTCTGGGAGAAAAATGAGCGAAACCACGTCTGCGGGGGCTGTTCACCCTGGAAGCGAGCTCGTTGAACCCGAGCTCGCTGATTTAAGTGCTCGTTGAATCCGGGTTATTTTTATTGATTTTAAAGAAGAAAAAAAAAAGGGAATCTATCTCATCTCGTTGAATCCGAGTTCTCGTTGAATCCGAGCTCGTTGAATCCGAGTTCCACTGTATATAATGCTTTTGCACATTGTAGTATTAGTTGTAAGACTGTCTTCTTTACAGTTTTAACCCTATCCGTACGCCTGGGGTCATTTTGTACCCCAGGAGTTATATTCTTCACATTTTAGAATACTTCTAGTGCATAGAGTTCCCCACGTCGTATGGATACGATAGCAAAACATGACGTAGGGATAGTGTTAATAATATTTTGAGCATGATTTTGTTTTCTTTATTATACTTCCCAAATGATGTGATGGATGAGGACAAGATTTATCTTCTGCTGTGCCTTCCCTTACAAATTAGGCCCCTACAGTATAATCCGCTTATTTCGACATGCTTTTGGGAAGTGGATTAGTTGTCGATATAAAAATGTCGATAAATGGAAATATAAATAAGAAAAAACAAGGGGAGGTCAGCGGTAAAAAGACAACACTACTTTTTTAAGTTGTCTGCAATTTGCGGCGAGAGAATGAACGTGAGTGAAAAAGTCGATATAAGAGATATTGTGAGGCAGCGTGGTAAAATCAGGCGCTCTGCAGGTTTGGGAACATTTATCGAATTTTTGTTTTTCGGCTCAACACCTTTTATGCCCTTTAAAAACACATTTCTGTGTGAGTTTTACTGAAAAATGTTGATTAAACGCAAAAGATGTAAATTTTCAGTTTCCACAGGCTCTCAAGCTAAGGAAATAACTTAACTTAGACGGCCATTTTCTCGCTAATTTTATCTCTGAGACCAGGCAACCCCACTTCCTTCAATCGCAAATATCTCAACTTATATTCAAGATAAATGGGTATTATTTTCATCGGAAGCAAGGCAAATGGGCAAGCTTTAAGATGATACCAATAACTCCATATGCCCAAAAATGAATTGATGAGTGCCTGATTCCACCGCGTCGTGACACAATTGTTTAGTGAAGATATTGAAGGAAAAATTTCATAATTAGAAATTATGTCGATATGTCAAAATTTCGATAAATCAGATGTCGATATAAGTGGATTGTACTGTACTGTGCTTCACTACTCTGAATGATGTTTTGTTTGAGCATTGCTGGAGTGGTATGGACTGTAGGTTATAAAAAAGTGCTATGCGAGTGATGAACTGATGGTCCAACCCCATCCCACAACGCTGATGTGTTCACTGGTCTTATGTTCTTCTTCATCATAGCTGTGATAGTAAGCATTTTTGCCCATGTTATATTATTATTAAATTGAAGGATAAACGGGGTGGATTTGCACATTGGGGTGACTTTGCACGACATGTGAATATGTACTGTACCCTTGGATTAAGACAAGGTGTACATAACCCTTTTTTTAAAATAGTGATTATCTGTATAGAATAAAAATATATTAGTTCTGTTCTACTTTCACTTTTATGTACACTAGATTCAAATAGAAGTATGACTGTTACTTCAAGTGAGATTATCAATTTTGATTTTGCAATTAAAGGTTGAGTTGAAATTTATAAGTGGGTTCTATACACTTTAAATTTAGGGGCCCTTAAATTTATTAATTTGCTGTTGGAGCTATCAGTTAATTAAAAGTAAGTGCATCAGTAGGCTATTTATTCAGCAGTGTTACACAGTGTAGAAAAGTTGCTACCGTAAAGTAAATCACAATGTCTGCAAACTCTTTGTGACAGGATTCTGTAAGCTGGTGTGTACAAATATCCACCTCTAGCAGGATAGACACTTAAAACTTTGAGGAATGATTTAATTCCGTCGTTATTCCTTGTCCGGGAGAAAAGAAGGACAGTCTTAGTCTCAATTAAGTAAAAATGTTTTGATCAAACATTGCTTTTTGTCTTTTATTTACACCCTGACTCAAATGACAAATGTCAGCCCCTTGATGTTGCCTTTTTTTACCTTGAAGAGGGAAGGGAGTAAAGTCTTTGGAGAAAACATGAATTAGAGACAGAGACCTTCATCAACGTCTTTGCATTAGTCAGTGCTTCCAAGATTGCAGTAGATCTAGATCTAATTACTTGCTACTACAAAAGTTGAGAAGTCTTTTCTTGAGATTTTCAAAAATTCTCATAACCAGATTTATAGCATGCTGAATAATAATGTCCCCTTGAAATAGACAGGCTCCACGAGTTGCAAGAAAAGTATTGAAAGAGCAGCTTGGGACATCTATTTCAGCAGAGGAACTAATTGACCTCCGCAGCTGTCAAATCCCTCCCAGTCTTCCAGTTCTACTTCTACTCAAAACAGGAGATCAACAGATCAGCCAACTGCTTCTGTATCACCTTTTCTTTTAAACAGGTTAAGCAATAAAGAGTAGCAGTTGCAGTGAGCTATTGAATGACTGCTCTTCAGGATAAGAAGGGAAGCTATAGAGCTCTTAGATGATTAGATTATACTTATTTTTGGCCATCTAGTTCTGATCAGTGTTCTTTCTTTTACTCAGCCTGAAGATTCTAGTTGTTCTTTTTATTTCTTAAATAGCTTTCATAGGAGATTTATCCCCATATCTTTCTTTATGGGCAGTCAGCTCGACATTGTCATATATGAGGGCTGTCCCACGGAAAACCGGAAAAAGGTCCATAAAAGCAATAATCTTTGTCCTATTATAATAAAAATATAACACATCATACTTCAACATGTGCTTTATTTCTCAGTATAATCACCTTCCCGCTGGACGCATTTTTCCCATCGCTGGATCAGGGAGAAGATACCCTCCCTGAAGAATTTTTCGTCAAGGGATTTCAACCAATCTTTCACGGCTTCTACGAGGTCTTTGTCGCCGGTGAATCGCTGTCCAGAAATATGGCGTTTCTTTGGTACAAAAGGTGATAATCTGATGGGGCCAAGTCAGGACTGTGAAGGGGGTGTGGCAGAACTTCCCAGCCGAACCTTTGAATCCTGTCTTTCCTAGCGTTGCGGTGTGTGGCATTGCATTGTCATGCTGCAAAATGACCCCGCTGGACATAAGGCCCGGTCTTTTTCAGCGCATAACCTCTCTCAACTTATCAAAGAGTCTGGCAGTATCTGTTAGCATTAACAGTCTGTCCTGGTTCCAGAATATCAAGAGGCAGAACACCCTTAGCATCCGAGAAAACCGTGGCCATGAGTTTCTTCACAGATGGCTGAACTTTAAACTTTTTCGGGGGAAGTGAAGACGTGTGCTTCCAAACCATTGAATCCCTCTTCGTCTCAGATGTGCGTTCACAGAATGTGAAAATACTGAATAGTTTTCAAATTACAGCCAAATTCCGTTTTTACGTGGGACAGCCCTCATAGTAGAGAGTGCTTCTTTTTTCTTTTTAAAACATTAGATCTAGGTATTTAGTGCTTTTTATTTTATAATACAAAAAAAATAAACTTGAAATGATTACATTTATAAATTTATCTCTCAGCTCTATCAACATTATTTTAAAGCATTTAATAGTCTTTTTGCATCAATTGGTGTTTGTAGTTTTAAGTGCAAAGTCACTCCATTTTTTTGGTTAACCTCTTCCTGAAAATGTATAAAAAGTGGTCCATCCTCATTTTTATGATTTTTACTTTTATTTTTCGTATATATATATCTCTCTCTCTTTGGTGTGAATCTTCAGCTTACAAGGGGACATGTATGTTGATGAAACAAGCAAAACATTTTAACAGGCTTTTTATTTTACAGGACAATCCGTGAAAGTCTTAGTTTTGGGCAATTCCATCCCGTTTTATGCTAATTCGATTATATCTGTTTTGCTTCATGAACCAGGTTCTATGTCTTTTGTTGAGGAGCATAAGTATATATGCAATGCAAAGTGTCTATTAAAACTGTCGTTTTTTAAATTCAAGTTTTCTTTGTAATGAATTTTCGTTTCATGGCTTGCTCAGCTGTATGTCTTTTAACACTTGCCAAGGTGTATCAGTCGGCAAACTTTTTTTCATGTTGCATGTTCAACACTTATCCATCTTAAGTCTCCACAACCTTGCGCCAGTGACTGGTGGTTGGCGAGCGTGCTGATATAGTTTTCTCCTTCTTTCCTATCAAACATCTATCATACTTAGCTCTCCTGTTTTTCCCTCTTTTCTCTGTACATTACTCTCTCGTGGTACCTCCAGTCTTTGGTACTCATAATAATGATAATATGACCTGTTTATGTTGCAAGGGCTGTAAAACACTAATTTAATTGTAACTAAACTTGAGTCAATCCTTGCCACGCTGCTGGGCAATCTGTGTGAAATATTAAGTCTGATAAATATATAGATGGGGCCCGAATTTTTATTGTTTATCCTGAAGGCCTACTGAGTGCTTTACTTTCGAAATGACCTGTTTTTCACTTCCACAATGTGAAACGCTGATCATCTGCTCAATACAGGAACAAAAGACATGACCGTCAAAAGGTCTATAGTAGACAAACACTGGATATAATGATCTAGATTGTGCCAATGAGATCCTAAAATACACCTACATTAATTAAATAAAGGCCCCCCCCCAAAGCCCTCAAAATCCAGGTGATAATCAGATCATGTACAGTGTATCACGCCTACGATGTGATGCGTTCACTTTTCCTCTCAGGAGGGACGATGGGACACA